GGAGCCACCCCAGACCTAGGGGTGAGCTCTGGCATTTGGGGTGCTGGGGTTCACAGAAAAGCAGAGCTGGTGATTCCCAGTCTCCAGGGGAGCAGGCAGAACAAACCCACGGGATTTCAGCTCTGGAAGCAGAAGGAGCTGAGGCTGCTGCTCAGCCCTGCAGTGATCTGCATCACTGGGGTGTTCTGGTGTTGGAGTCCAGGAATCCCTCTGGCTGTCCTGACCTTAACATGAAGTCCAATCCACCTGTGCCTTCCATTTTAGCCCGTGGAAAAAGCTGCCAGCTCTGTATGAGGAATTACAAGCCACAAGGGTTTGAGTAGTGTGGTAGCTGAGCTAACACAGGGTGAAAAAGTAGAATTTTGGGGCTTTTTAGAATGGGGTTTAGGGTGACAAAATGAAGGGATCTGGGCGTGTCCTGATCTCCTTCTCCTTGCCCTCCATGTCTTGCTGTGGTGGTGACACTTTTCTGTTGGTTTAAGGTAGAGACACACTGTCCAACATAAATGATCAATATTGACACAAAATTGTAAATATAGTACACATAGTTTTTGGTATAAAATGTAAACACCGCCCTGAGGGCAGACAGATGCCATGGCCGAGCTGCTGGACAGAGCCCAGCAGGTCAGAGAAAGAATGTTCTAGAAAAGGGAAAATAAACAACCTTGAGAAGCCGACCCTACACATCCTCCTTTGGCTGCATGGGTTGGGAAATGAGGATTTTTACACTCTGGCTGCCCGTGGAGGTGATCAGTGGAAGGGACTGCCTGCAATGCCCTGAGCACTGAACTTTTCTCCAGAGCTGCTGCAGCTGCCTGGCCCCATCACCTGCCTCTCACCCCTGCTCCTTCCAGCCCATTTTGCTCATTTCTTGCACTGAAAAATGGCTCATTTGCTGCACAAATTACTGAAGCGTCAATTATACGACAGATTAAAATGATTTTAATGGAGATTGGGGTTGAAGGGGTAAAGACGATGCCAAATTGTCAAAACACAAAACTCTCTGTGCTTCCAAATGAGCTCTCAAGAAAGGAGCTGCTGGATTGCTGGGCTGGAAAAGACCCTTCCATTAGGATGAAGGTAAGACAGATCACAGGGGACATCAGAACAAGAGCTGTGCAATGAGCACTGTTAATGTAAAACTGTTCCCTGCACTGATTCCACAAAAAAAAAA